TGCACTCCAGTCTGGGCGACAGAGTGAGACTCCGTCTCAAAAAAACAACAAGAACAACGACAAAAAAACCACAGAATCTGGAGTTAAAGTGCCTGTGTACGAATCCTTCCTCCGTCCTTTAGGAGTTAGGTGACTCATCAAAGACCACCAACTTTATCTCTCTGAAACTCAGTTGCCATCTGAAAATGGGTAAAACAACAATGTCTTCAAAGGATTATTATGAGGACTAAATTAATTTTCATAATGTTACAAGCACAACAGATAGCAAATAGGACATGCTCCATAAGGGTTAACCACTGCGGTGATTACTTATCATTATTTTTACTATTATCCTTCAGAATTGTTCTGAGGATTGAATGAGATAATATAAATAATTCTATTTAAGTACATAAAACTAGCACCTAGTTAGTGGTAGTTGCCTCAACAGTACCTAGCAGATGCCATTATCATCTGTTGAATGACTGCATGAAACCCATTTTACAAATGAGGAAGTAAAGCTCAGAGGTGTTCATCTGCCTGCCTCAGCTTACCATCATAGTAAAGGCAGAGTAACATCTGATGGCTGCAGTGCCCATGTGTACCTTTTCCCTTCACCAAGTCTGCTGCTTTCTTAGATCAGGCAGCAGGAAGGTGGAGGAAAGTCAGCGAGTGGCAATGTCAGGGCTAGAGCTTCAGAGTTCCAGAAAGCCTTTGTCCTTAATGTTCTGACCCCTTGAGCATAATCCATTCATATCAGCTGAAACTAGACCTCGAAATAGAAAGAAATTGAAAATCTGTTTCTGCCTAAGGGTCTATGATTCTGTTACTCAATTTCAATCACATTATTAGATTAAAAGGAGGTTAAAGTTCTTGATCTCCAAAAATCTTTGAAAGGAAAGCTAAGCTTTTTAAGAACAAATAACGTGGCAATGTCCTGAATCGCCAGGATCTGACGCTTTCACTCAGCTCCACAAGCAACTAAGAGATATAGAAAAGAGTGACTAACAAACTAATGATAAAAAGAAATAATTAAAAGGTACAAAAAGAGACTAACATTGTAATCTTAGCTTCAAAAATACCAGGAAGATGTTTTTGGCAAGTTTTGCGAGATACTAATAAAACCTTAACCATTTTAGTTGTTATAAGAGGTAACTGAAATTGATGTTCATGATGTATTCTATCTACTTAAGAAAATAGAGTAAATTTCATTGTCTTACGGGAATTAAACTTTTTCCGTTATTAACTCTATCCACAGAGTTAACTTAGGACATATCCAACTGCTTTTGAAAGAAGTTAGAGATGGCACTAACCAAGAGTGAATAAAAGTTATGAAAGAGAGATAGAAATGATTTTGTAGGCATAGAGTAAGTGGAAAGGACTGTTGGAGACAGCTAAGACAATAAACACATACTATATGTAGATAAAGTATATATATGAAAAGAATTGTATATTGAAGACACACACACACCATTAGCTTCTTGAGGATAAGAACAATCCAGTGTGTTTTTGCCATAGAGCACAGTGGTTACAAGCATGGGCTTTGCAGTTGGCATGACCTGGAATTGAATCTCAGTTCTGACATTTAATAACTATGAGACCTTGAGCAACTTACTTAATGCTTCTATACCTCAGTTTCCTCATGTTTAAAATCGAAATAACAACAGCACTCATACGGTTGGTTTGAGGACTGAATAAGATGACGTATGTATAGTGCTCACACTGCCTGGCACTTAAGTTCTAAGTACTCATTGCATGGTAAATACAGTATTATTGTTGTTATCATCATGCTTGTCATCAGACTAGACCCAGATAGCTGGTTATAAAATCAGGCCTGTCCCGATTGGACAAATGACCTTGGGCAAGTCATTTAACCTTTCAGTACTTCAGTCTCCTGATCTATATAATGACATCCAAACTTTCCTCCAGGACAAGTAGGGCCTGTGCATAGTCCAGGGGGGAGGAAGAGAGAGGCGCTGCTGAGTGACTGGGCTGGGGGACTCTTATAGGATGTCTGTAAAGGGCGGGGAGGTGGCATGGAACTCGGGTGTTAAAAGACTGCACTACATCAGTGCCTGCCAGATCTGTGATTTCACAAACAGATAAAAAGAGATTTTTTAAAAGGTTTCTGTGGCACTAAGATAGGCTTGTCAACTTCTTTTTCCTGCCAAACTATCAACCAAAACAAGTACCATCTACCTACCGTCCATTATCAAGTTTCATAAAAGAAGGAAAGCTTACTTTCAGAATGAAATTGCTTCAGAATGAATAGATTTAGCCTGTAAAGAAGATCCAGCAAGTAGAGATAGCATTAAATATTAATAAACACTTTGAATGAGTGAAGGCAGGGAGGAGAAAAGAGGTCAATAATCCAGCCTTGGAACAACGGGAGCTGAGTTGAGACGGGGACCAGCAAAGAGGCAGGAAGGAGCAATCCTGAGGACCAGAGAGGTTACAGGAGACAGAAGAGAGGAGGGGAAGAAGATGCAAACCAAGAAAGGACCTCTGGTTTATAAAAGAAGTGAGGTTTATACCAAAAGATAACATTAAGTCTAAACATTTAGATAGTTAAATCAAATCAATTTGGTTTTTTCATGGCATTCTAAAAGCACTACATAATTACCCTAAATAAATTAAATATCAGAAGTAAAACCTACAGTTGAAAGAATTAGATTTGCACATGGATGTATTTATTTTTCAATATTACTATTTACTCAAATTAGCAAAACAATATCAGCAATAGTATTAAATATGAAGTATCATATTACTTATCATAAAAGCCATACACTACTGTTACAGTTGCTTTAAAATAAAGTCTAGGTTGGGCACGGTAGCTCACGCCTGTAATCCCACCCTCTTAGGAGGCCGATGCTGGTGGACCTTTGAGTCCAGGAGTTTGAGACCAGTCTGGGCAATATGGCGAAACCCCATCTCTACAAAAAAATACAAAAATTATCTGGGCATCGTGGCACACGCCTGTAGTCCCAGCTATTCGGAAGGCTGAGGTGGGAGAACTGCTTGAGTCCAGGAGGTCGAGACTGCAGTGAGTCAAGATCGCGCCACCACACTCCAGCTTGGGTGACAGAGCAAGACCCTGTCTCCAGCCTGGGTGACAGAGCAAGACCTAGATTATATATATATATAGTCCATATAGTAGGAATAAGAAATATATATAGTAGGAATAAGTGAAAATAATCTTAGGCAGTCATTTAAAATCTTTTTTAAAAAGATCTAATGATTTGTAGAAATGCTCAGGATTATGAAGTGGAAATACGAATAGGTAGAAATATGAAGTAGAATATGAGGTAAAAAAAGCAATATAAAATTTTATGTAATTCCCACTTTCAACAACATTTACAATAGATAAAAAGCCTGGAATTTTTTAAAAACATATATCAAAACGATAACACAAATTATTTTTGGTATTATAGGTAATTTATTATTTCTTGAATTTTCCTGTATTTTATACATTTTCAAGAATTAATATGCATTACTTCTATAATTAGGAGAAAAAATGTTAAATAAACTTAATAAACATACTTACTCTTGGGAGTTTAGGATTAAAGTAGTTAATTACTTCAAACTCAAAATAAGATGCAAAACCCTCCTTGAGCCAGATGTTGTTCCACCAATTCATGGTAACCAAGTTTCCAAACCACTTTTGGAAATGAGAAGAAAAAAGAGCTTTCTTAAATTTAATTTTTAAGTTATATTCATTGTAATTGCATGTTAAGTAAATGTAAGGTCAAAAGACATAATTAAAATTTATTTGTCATCGATAACAAAACTTGAAGACAGGATAGCAAAAAAACAAGTTGTTGTTTTCACATAAGAAGATATTAGTCATGCATTTCTCAGAAATATTCCATGTTCAGTGATTAAAAGCAATTTTTGTTTTAAAACCGCGATGTTTAAACATAAGGTCAGTTAGAATAGCATTTCTTAAACTGTCCACTTGGCCCAAAAGTTGTTTTTGGTTCCATAAAACAGAAGCCCTGAATGCTGACTTGCCACCTACTAATTCTAGTACCTTATACTCTAAATAGGCTGCAACTGGATTTTACTTTAAGCAGTTGTTTATATTTTAAGAACATAATTTGATCTGTGCCATGTACAAATCACTCAAGTAATCATATGTTCTGCAATATGGTTCAGCTGTAATTATTTTCTGTTTGAACTGAACAGGAAAAAAAAAAAAAACAAAAAAAAAACAGTGCCAAATGGATGATGAACAGGATTAGGAAAGAAAAACAATGATTTCCAAACTAACAAAGCCAAGGCCTGGTATTTAACCAAATTCTTATAACAGCTATAATTACTAATAGCCTGTATTGCAAAACAATGTGTCACTTAGGCTATCATTAAAAAAGGACACTTTGGGTGACTTAATAAAACTTGTGAATGTGTGTGTTTTACTGTGCACCAGGGTATTAGTCAATCCTAGTAAACCGCTCTTTTCCAAAACTTCTTATGGAGGCTCATTACTAAGATAACATCGTTGAGATTATTTCTTTCTTAACAGATTTGTATTAATGGAGCAGACACTGAAATGCAGATATGAAAATCTTCATCAGATTAAACAGCTAAACTTCTAAAATCCCAATGCAAAAGCAAATAGATCTGATTAAATGGATTGTCGTTTACACAACCATTGGGAATGCAGCTCAAGGGTTAATTATTGCCACCTTGCTAATGTATTACCTGCATCCATTTAACCTCTCTCCAACAACAGCAACAACAACTAGAAATTTATAACAATCTGCTGATGAAATGTGCATAGCTTTCAGTGATCCTTTTGAATAGCCCTTAGTTTAGGTGAAATGAAAATAAAATACTCCTGTGTCTGCATGGCTTACTTTTCCTGAAGAGGACTTTGCGGAGCAAAGTTAATTGTTGGATGTAAATACCCAGCCCTCAGACAAACTGTACAGTCTCCTTCCTATGATCTGTCACCAGTAGTTCAAATCCACCCTGAATCTGAGTTTTCCCCATTTTTACTCACTGTCATACTTTGTGATGTTTTTCTTTTTAAAATATGGTATTTTAAAAGATGGCAGGGTCTTATTGGGGTTTTTATGCTATTTTGGTAGCGCACCTGGAAAATAACTTCACGTGAAATAGAAAGAACATTTTACCACATGCCTGGTGTCCAATCTCGTGGGAGACAATGTAGGAGATCAGAATCTTTTTTTCTGTCAGTTGATCTTTTGGTTCCAACAACAATACTGATTCATCAAATATCATTAGTCCCCAGTTTTCCATTGCATGGTTGTCAAAACTAGGCAAGGCAATTATATCTAAGTGGATTTAAATGGAGGAGAATATAAAATAATATTTTCCAAAAAATGGGATTTTTAAAATATCTCAAAATGAAATCATAAAATTGCCAAAAAATACAAGAGAATATTTATAACCTGAAGGCAGAGAAAGCTTTTTAAAGACTAATGCCAAAGACAAAAGCCAGCAAATAAATTATTTTGACTATGTTAAAATAAAATATTCTTGATAAAGGACTTGTATTCAAATATACAAAGAATGCTTATAACTCAGCAGTAAGGAAACAAACAACCCAACTACAAAATGGCAAAAGATCTGAACATACACCTCACTAAAGAAGATATATAAATGGCAAATACACATATGAAAAGATGCTCAACATCAATTGTCATTAGAGAATTTTAAATTAAAACAATGAGATACTACCACACACCTACTCGAATGGCTAAAATCCAAAACACTGGCAACACCAAATGCGGATGAGGATGTGGAGCAACAGGGACTCTCATTCATTGCTTGTGGGGATGCAAAATGGTACAGTCACTATAAGTTGACCATAAGATCTGACAATTACATTCCTTGGAATTAACCCAAATGACCTGAAATCTTATGCCCACCCAAAAACCTGCACACAAATGTCTATAGAAGCTCTATTCATAATTGCTAAAAGTTGGAAGCAACCAAAATGCCCTTAAATAGGCTAATACATAAACAAACTACAGTACATCAATACAACAGAGTATTATTCAGTGATGAGAAACGATGGATCATGCTAGGAAAAGATATGGGAAATTTTAAGTGCATGTTGCTAAGTGAAAGAAGCTGGTCTGGGAAAGCTACATACTATGCAATTCCAACTATATGACATTCGGGAATAGGCAAAACTATAAAGATAATAGAAAGATTGGTGGTTGTCAGGGATTCAGGGGAAGCAGGGGAAGATAAATCAATGGAGCACAGGGGGTTTTTATGGCAGTGAAACTATTCTGTATGATACTGCAATTGTTGATACTGGTCATTATACACTTGCCAAAACCCATATTGCTGTACAATGCAAAAACTGAGCCATAAGATAAACTAGGGAGGTTAGTTAACAATAATGTTTCAATACTGTAGCAAGTATACCATACTAATGCAAGATGTTGACAACAGGAGAAAGGAGGGAGATGGAAGGAAAGAGAGAATATATGAGAACTCTGTTTTTTACACAATCTTCCTGTAAACCTAAAACTACTCTAAAAATAGTCTATTTATATTAAATACTTTAGCCAGGCCTGGTGGCTCATGTGCATAATCTCAGCACTTTGGGAGGGTGAGGCGGGCGGATCACTTGAGATCAGGAGTTCAAGACCAGCCTGGTCAACATGGTGAAACCCTGTCTCTACTAAAAATAGAAAAATTACCTAGGCATGGTGGTGCGCACCTGTAATCCCAGCTACTGGGGAGGCCGAGGCAGGAGAATCACTTGAACTTGGGGGACGGAGGTGTCAGTGAGGGGAGATTGCGCCACTGCACTCCAGGCTGGGTGATAGAGTCAGATGCCGTCTCAAAAAATGAATAAATAAAAATAAATATTTTAGTTCACCAAAATACACTATAAACAAATTTGAAAGGCAAAGAATAATATAGGGAAAAATACTTAAAGCATATACCACAAACAATTAGACAACTTTTTAATATTTAAAGAACTCTGAGAAAACAGAGAAAAAACCAAACGTGAACAATGCACCAAAGAAATACTTCAAACAGCCAAAAATCTTATTTAAAATGGTCATCATTAATCATCAAAAATCAAAAATTAAGATGATTTATCTTTAAAATACATAGGAGTCTAATAATTAATATGTGTAGGTATAGGAAATTTGGCACATAGCCTACAAGTAAAGTGTCAACTGGCACAATAATAACCCAAACACCTAGCTCTATCAGTCACTATAATATTTTGATATTCAGTCCAACTTTTGACTTGAGAGTGAATTAAAATGATAGCAACATGAGAAAAAATACTGTTCTGTATAAGGGATACATGAACACCATTCATATAATCTTAGATTCTAAAGTTTAGAATTCATTGAGCAAGCTACAAGAAAATAAGCTAAAAGAACAACACAGAAGAAATAAACCAAATTGTTTTTCACCCAACTCACTGATGGTAAGGGTATGGCATATGCGGGAAATGCTGGTAGGGGAGGCATTTGTTTTGTTTTGTTTGTGACTCAGCAAAGAGTTAAAGCAATTAGGAAACATTAGTTATCTTTCTCCTAAAAACCCAGTAATAGAGGAACTCTTTATTTTAATCACCTATCAATAAAAATAAGGTTTTGATTGAGTGCCTCCTATGAGCGCTCATAGGGTAACATCAGTTGAGATGCTATGAAGGTTACAAAGAAAGTATCAAATGTATCCCTGATGTCCAGGAATTAATAATCTGGTCAGAATTTAAGTGGAATTACTGAACTAATCTCATATATTTATTTCCTCCATCCCCCAAAAAGTTTGCTGTTGACCACCTGACTGCCATGGGTTCTAGAGACACAAAGAAAAAGACCCTTCAGATCCTAACTCCAAGATCTAATGAGGGAGATAATTAAAACACAATTGGTCAAGAGTTCAAATGGAGGAATACGCAGGATGCTGTGGAAGTGTGAGAAAAGAAGTCAGGGAAGGCTTCCTGGATGAGGAGGCACTGAGTTGAGAAACAGAATTGAATTAAGCAGTGGATAGAAGGCATTTCAGGATGTGCAAACTGCATGTGAAAGAGCCTGGTGGAGACAAGAGGAAGGTGAACACATAGGAGTGAGCAGAGACAGTGCTAGAGCATCCTTTCCACTCAGGAACTGCCAAAAGCCCTGAGAGGTTGGTAAGAGAAGCACCTTTAGAAAGACATGGTACTGACTTCGGACTTAACCCTCAGGGCAATGGGAGGTCACACAGAGGTTTTAAAGAGAACAGTAACATGATCAGATTTTCTCTGGAAAGATCCTTCTGGTTTCATATGAAGGATGGCTTGGAGGGAATATGGAGAAGCTATGAGAGTACAGCTGTTGTGGAGATGATGATGAAAACTAGGGAGAACCAAGGGGACAGTAAGAAGTGAATGGATGGAGGGATGGATGTAGGGGATGATAAGGCGACTAATTAGATCGAGGGTGTGCTTCAAGGGAACAGGGTGTCAAGGATGACTCTGGACTTCTCATCTAAATAAATACAAATAGAACTTTTCTTGCCAAGACAAGGGGCATCTTGGGAGCTTCAAGCCCCAGAAATGCCAGGAGCTTAGTCTCCATGCCTGAGCTCCTGCTGCGTCCAAATCCCTGAATTATAGGTGTTACCTCCAGGATTTCTGTATGGGCCAAGGGTGGTTTCCATCCCTTCATTCCCCATTCCTCCTTAGCCAGAATGCTCAAGCTGCAGAGACCCTGACTTCCTGGGGTTCAGAAGGCTCAAGCTCCCAAATATTTACTCCCCACCTTCTTCCACTATCTGCCAGTATAGGCAGAGCATACTTTTTTCGAGTCTTCAACTAACGTGTCAGAGGAACAAAATACATTACGTGATACTTTCAATTTAGAGAGAAAAAACATTGAACAACTTTCTGAGCTGAGTGACTCATACAATTTTAAGGACATACCACATAGATCTATGAAAGGTTAAATATTTACTTATTTTCTTAAGGATCATATTATATTCACATATCATTCCAATTTTATACAATGAAAATTCACAGTTGGGACCACTAAGTCCTAATTCAGTGATTCACAGCTAATGGATATTTTTAAAAGTACAACTTAGAAAAGGGAACTGAAGTAACTTCTGAAAGCCCACTAGCTAAAGTGATCCAGACACAGCATTGCAAACTTGCAGTATGAGAGAAAACGCCTGAACACGAAAGAGAAAGCAGGGTCTAGAGGATGGGAGGCTTCCATTGAGTAGCCAGGAGAGACCTAAAAAGTCTGAGAGCTCCCCAGCAGCTGCTGAGCACATGACTCTGTACAGAGAAAGAACCGGCGGGCCTCTGTGTGTTTCAGAAGGTGTAAGACATAGGTCAGGAGGCTAAGTCCAAAACAGCAGCTAAATGGTGACAGTGGATCCTTATGGGTTTGTCTGTGTATCTTGAGGCCTCAACCAAGGGCCCAAATAACAGGAAACCAAATGCACTGAAAGGAAAAGATTACCTCACCTGCTTTTGGAAGAGAGTAACTGATATTAAACAAATCCTCCAGAAAAGAGAAGGTGGGACCTGTGATGTTCAAGGCAAAGTCTACACTTCCATTTGCAATGGCATCTTTCCGGGCCCAGATACGTATCTAAATCAAAACAGTTAAGCAGTGATTAGGAAAACCAGTAGTGATTTTGTAAAGAGGTAGTCTGCTTGCTCCAATTCCCTGCTGCTGAGTCAAAGTCTTACCTTTTCAGAAGAAGCTACACAATAAAATGTTTGCATGCCTACATGTCCTGAGAAAACCTCTGAAGGCTGTTCACTAAGTTATGAACAGTGATTCCCCCGAAAGCGTATTTCAATCTTTGACAATAGCATGTACAATCTGGAATCATAAAACAACCCTTGGAATGTGTCGTACCACCATCTATCCCTACAGTAAGTGTAGATTCTATAGGCATCTTGTGCACTTTAGGCCCTTGCTTCCCATTTTAGGATATATTACTAATGATCCAAAACAGAATTGCACTGTGAGTGGAGGTTATATAGTATGGTACATATTAAGCATATTTAAATCATGCCAATTTAAAATGGTTTGGCAGTTACAACATTAATAGTCCTACTTTACTTTCAAAATTTGAAATAAGGTTAATTCTCCTAATTTAAAAAAGTTCATCAAATGTCTCATAATTTTAAAGCTGTCGAAGCAAGTAAATTATAATTCTTTTGTTCTTCTATTGCAAAATGACACTTCCACTTTAGCAAGGAAAAGGAAATCTCTGCCATGTTTTGTCCGTTTTGTGTGACCACTCTATTGTTTGGGTAATTGGAGCTTATTTCTGTGATTTTTGGTAAGTAATATCCTATTGTTTTAACATTAATTTTTCCTGTAAATTGAAAGTATTATAAACTCTACAAAAACAAAAGGTAGGCAATTTTTAATAAAATTGCCAGCATTAATGTTAAAGAACATGCATAAAACTTAAAGATCTTGGAATGAAAGTTACCAAGTGAGATAATTAAAATATTCGCCCTGTTGTGAATGCAGTTAATTTAAGAAAGAACGCTCTGCGAAACGTTAGAGAAAATACTAAGGAAACGAAAGAATCACAGTATTTACAGATTTGTGCCCTCCAAGAACATATTCGTCTTACTGTGCTTTTATTTCTGCTTAAAAGTATTTCTAGAATTATGTAAATTCTGAACTACTTACATGTTTCTTATGTTTATTCTCATGCCACACGTGAACCACACTTTCCATTTCACAAAATCTTTATCTGTTACTTAATGAGAAATTTGTAAACGGGTTGGACTCTATTCCAAGTGTTTATTTTTGTTCCTCTGCAGAGTGTGTAACGGACTCATTAACTTTGTAAAGCTGAGCTGTAGCCAAATGTTCACATTCCACTGATAGACTCATGCCAAACTTCAGTGTGCTGGCTAAGAACATGACTTTCTTAGGCATGCTGCATTTCCTTGTTGCTTCTATGGCAGCTGGCATCCTTTCCGGGGTGATTCTTTCACCGATAAATAGATATCATCCCTCTACAAGAATTGCTGACTGTGTGGCAGCACTTACCACAACAAGGCACTTGAGATAATGGAAGCCGAGGAATCACCTTTGGTCTGTCATTATCTATGGGAGCCATGGGGCCCATTCCTCCTTGCCAAACTAAAAGCACATGCTTCCAAATCATGCCTGAGCAGATTTAACAATATGAGCCATGCACGTTTAACTTGGCCAGTGTTATATCTGTAGATGACAAGGATCTACTAGTAATTATTCAATAGGAAAATCAAACTGGAGCCAACAGCTTAGGAAGATAACAAGCTGTCATTTGCATCTAACACAGTATTATTAATTCATTAAGTTAGGAGGAGCTTTGGGAATTGCTCAGCCAACACAATATTATTAATTCATCACTAGGTTAGGAGTTGTAAAGGAGGAGTAGCTTTGAGTGATTCTCCCCTGATGAGGGACTTAGCTCACCCACAGCTTCCTTTTCTCCACATGTCAACGGTGCAAACCTGGAAGATCTAGGGCCCAGGAGAGTATGTTAGCGAGCTACAGGGCCTGATTTTTCTCAGTTCGATGAAGTCTATGTGTCTAGAAAGAACTGGGCCTAAGGCCCACTGTGATAGGGAGTGAACCAGTATATAAAGCACTGCCAGTATAACCTCCATATTTTCCTAAAGGATTATTATAAAGGGGGTAATTGGGTGAAAACCAGCTGTTTCAGGACAGAGTGGCAACTTTACACAACTCAGACACAGCGTTGCATGCTCCAGAACTGAAGAATATGGCAGTTCAGCTTCTGGATAGGTATAGGGACAAGCGTGACTTTATTTAAAATGCTAATCCACTATGTAACTTCTGACTAACCTTGAGTCTAAGAGTGCCTCTAAATGTCTAGTTAAGGTGTTAACTCATTATGTAGAAACACCTATTCATAGTAAGTTTCCTTCAAAACCACCTTTGTTGTTCTGGAAATCATAGGCTGTGATGTGGCCAACTACACATTTCTTCCAGAGCATGTATGCTTTTTCCCGAAGATATAAGCCCTGGGTCTGGGGAATTGCACAGCAAAGATCTACTTGTCTTGCAGCCAGTCAAGACCATGCTTCTGTCTTTAAGTGCCCCTAATAAAACATCCCAAACCAACAAACTAGATTTGTCTGCCTCCTTCCTCAGTCTCTCAGCTGCTTCTGCATTTGGGTGTCGTTTTGTTATATGGCCCTTTCACAGAACAACAGGGATAATATTTTAACCTGCATGCACCATTTCAGCCATAGCAGTTGTTCCTGGCTGGTGTCTGTTTTGATTGGTTGATGCCCAGCCACGCTGGTTGCTGTTTTGAATATCACCCAAGCTTCAAGACTCCATTAACCCTGGGATAAGTACACATCACACACTAAACCCAAACATCAAGGTGCCAGTGCAGCAGTGCTCCCCATTCTCTCCTGTCTTCTGCAAAAGCAGAAACACATGGGGAAGAGGGGGCACAGACCTTGCTTTGAGGAGTGGGTTTAATATGGAGTCTTTCCATGAAAACCTATCCAAAGAATGGCAATAGGAAATGTTATGTCCCATTCTGCAAAGTCACACTAAGAACTTTTACAGGACTTGGGAGAGAGAACTAGGAATCGATTTGGGATATGCAGGCATAACTACTAGATACAGAAAAGAATAGATGAATAATCTGCAGCCAGTACACTCTCCCTTACCAAAGAATCTTCCTCACTCACCTCCTTGCCCCTTTCTGTTCTGTTGACATGGTCATAGTCGCATATAACAAATGCAACTAAGTAAGTTGGCATGTGGGGAGTAGTGGAAAAGGTAGTAACAGTCCATTTGCTTCCATTCACATCTTCTTTTACAGACTGACCTAGAGAAATTTATTTTAGTTCAAATCACAGCAAATCTAAGCAATAACATGTCTTTGAAATAATTTGTCAAGTCAATTGTCACCCAGCTACTCCTTTCCAGCTATTCCTCATAGTCTAGCAGTTCAGATTTCTCCACCTACTCCTAAGCTGTCCAAAACTACATTAGGAAAATCTCAGAACAGCATCTTGGGCCTGAATCAGCATTTCGAATAATATGGGCTTGATTGAGGGCCAAATCCATGAGCACTATAAGCTTAGTCCCCAATCTGCCTCCTTTCTCTCCCACCTAATTCTATTGTTTTCTAGTCCAGCCAATTTCTCACAACAGTTAATCTAGAGCTGCCCAGGCCCCATGGTAGGTCAACAAGGTGCAATTCTACTACTCTCAGGTTTCAACTAAGACTTTAGTGGAAGCAATCTGGGGCCTTTAAAGCTGAAATCACAAACTCAAATGCCTACAAGGGCCAGGCACCTGAAGTGAAATGGGTTGGTGTACGCTAATAGGGAGTGGTGAGGATCATCTGAGAAGAGGCTGCAGGAGGCAGCCAACCTCCTGCTGGAGACAGTAAGACTTGTCCACCTGGGAACCTGCCTTTAGATGACAATTGTGGATGCTAAATTCCCTTTCAACTAACTTAAAGCCTCTTCTCAAATGTAACTGATCACTGCCACGTAAGAGCTGTAGGTCCAGTGTTGTTAGAACTTCTAAGTTTTCACATTTAAATTTTTATGTAAAATCTCTGGATATTTTAAAGTTGGAAACTGATTTAACAAAAAGAAAAAAAGGCACATGAGCCAAATGAAACACAGCTGTGCACCAGATTCAGTCTAAGCCCACCAGCTTGTTATCACTAATGATCAACAGTTGAAGCCCAAACGAAGAGGCAGACAGACTGCCTATATATAAGAACAGTATAAAATCCGCAGCTTCTAATACGAAAGGAATCAGGATTTACCATCTCTAAGATGTGGATGCTGACACATACCCCCAGGTGACTGCTCTACCTAATTATAGTAGACCGTAATTGTAACACACCATGATACACTGCCTGAAAAAGCTACTGGTGTAAATGTGATTACAAAACTTATACAGACAGACAGCTAGATATAGACAGAAAGCATTACTTACCTAGCTTTGGCATGTTGGAAAGGGCCACATAACTTGGATGATGAATAATTGTAATATTAAAAGTTGCCTTCAGAGCTGGCTCATCAAAACAAGGGAAAACATACCTGGCAAATGTTGGTTCCAGCTGGGATGCTAACAGGGCCCTGAAATACATTTTGGGGAAATTTTTATTTATTTTTATCTCAACCCAGTGGAATAAAAAAAAATGTTGAGATGATGGTTTGTAAGTTAGACTGGTGTGTTAGAGGAAATTTCCTCTCATCTTCCTCACTGCCCACCCCATCACACCAACACACTCCAATTATCATGGCACCTTAGAATTCTCCTAAGACCTAAATACAAGCACACTCTTTACTTTTCAACCACAAAATAGTATTTGCTTTATTACGTTGTAAACCTTTAAAACCTTTTACAAACAGAATAGAAACAAATATAGCAAATATGCAACACCAGTCTTTTGAGAACCAGGTCTTTATAATGCTAGGAGTACTTCTTTGAGAATGGTCCATTGCTTTCATCTTCCACTAAAGTAAAAGTCAGTGGAAGAATGTCTACATTTTTTTCTTTTTCTCACATGCCTCCTCTTCTTTCTAGCTAAAAACTTACAAAAAGTTTCATTTTGGACACCCTTGGGAGTAAACAATATGGGTACATGCTGATTGAACAAAACAACTTTCCATTATATATGGGTAAATGTATCAAACCCCTACTGATTGTTCCTCTATCTCCATGGCAAAATGCAAAGAGTGACATTATCCCACCACACAAAATACAAAGAGTGACATAATCCCACCACACACTGGTGACTCACAGGGAAAAACTTAGGGACAAGAATACCCTGAGCAGACAAGAAGATGTCAGGTATACCCTCTGCTACCACTGCCTGAGTCTGATGACAGCATAGGTCCCAGCAAACAACTTCCTTCTCAAAACAACCAAACACACACACACACACACACACACACACACACACACACACACAAACCCTGCAGTCTCATTATCCCATTTGTGAAGACTTGTTTACCTGGGAACCTGTCTTTAGATGACAACTGTGGATGCTAAATTCCTTTTTCAACTAAGGTCCTGAGACTTAAAGTCTCTGATACATTTGTTTTTGCATCAGGCCCAATTCTTGAATAAATAAAAGGTGAATTCAACAAAGATATCTCAAGAGTATATGCCATCCATTACTTACCCTTGTGATCCCTCCTTCACCATCATAAGGCTGCTGCTCGCATAAAAATTCACACAGCTTTAGGAAGGACACGCAGGACAGTTGGCACATGCAAACACCTCTCAGTCAGCTATTTTGAGGTGTCATAACCTCATTGTATTGACAAAAACAATAATTTATAGTAAGGCCTGTTTGGCTTATTTGCTCTTGCCCACATCATTATATGCTTACTTGCATAGACTGGACGGAGCCCTGTGGGCTCTGACATCAGCTACTTTCACTGCAAGACCGTACTCCACTCCATCTACTACCAACTGAGAAATCCTGGACAGTACATAATCTTGTTAAGTCCCAGTTTCTCCACCTAGAAAATAATGATCCTATTTACCTTGTACTGCTGTTTGAGCTTTTAAATTATTGGTAATTAAATTTACCAATAAATCCCCTTTGAATTCTCCTATGTCCCTTCCAATCTCATAAATCATTCTTGATACAGATGAACTATAGAAGAATTCAAAGAGGGATAAGTTACAGGATGGAATGGAGGTTCGGAAATCACTAGTTTCAGATGCATCTTTAAATGTCCCAGGGTTAGGGAAGGTGGGAATGGTTAATGGGTACCAAAAGAAAAACAGAAAGAATGAATAATAACTAGTATTTAATAGCACAACAGGGTGACTATAGTCAAAATAATTTAATTGTACTTTAAAAATGAACTAGAGTGTAATTAGTTTGTCACATAAAGGATAAATGCTTGAGGGGATAGATACCCCATTCTCCATGATGTGATTATTATGCATTCCATGCCTACATCGAAGTATCTCATGTACCCCCACACATATATATAACTACTATTATACCTACAAAAATTAAAAATTGAAAAAAAATGTTCTAGGGGCTACAGCTGACCACAGGTTAAACATGAGTTATATTTGTCTCCCCAGTAAATTTGAAACTGCTAGAAATCAGAGGTTATGTATCTTTTTCTTCTGTATGAGTTGCCAGAAATCTGGGTTCACAGCAATTGTATAAGTATCTGTTTAGCCAAGAACTAATATAAAATAAAAGCAGCATGATATCAGCATATGCAAAAGAATATAAAGTACTTTGGCAGAGTTTGTTATACTGGCATTTGTTTTATGGTTTTAGTTACTGTCTGTAAGGGGATGGGACAAAGTAGAGAAAATTCAAGCCATTGACAATATAGTGGAAAGGACAGGCATGAACAGGAAATTCAGCCACCTGGGTTCTTGCTTGGAATCTGTAAAGGCTGTTGTGTAACTTTGGGAAAGTTGCTTAATATACCACTTAAATTTTCTATAAAATGTAGATGATCTCTAAGGCCACTCAGAACCCTAAAACTGTGATTCTAAGAGAGATTAAGATATCCAGTAAGATGGAAAAAGAGCCCATGAGTCATCTAAAGTTGGGAGAAACAACCCCCTTCCAGGTTCATGCATGGCCTTCAGGAGGTCTTTGAGCCCTCTGAAATTATAGGATATTTCGTACAACTGGTGGCATATTAAAAAATATATGCTTATGTATTTTTTAAAAGCCAACAAATGCCTATTGTCTTTGTAACAGAAACTATAGGAGGTAAAGCTTGATCATACGTTCTCAGCTGCCATGACCTCACAAAGCTTATGAATCTCAAAAAGGTTGCAAGGTGGGGAGCGGAGAGAAAATTAGACTGTTTAAGGAAGTGGGAAACTTTATTTTACAGATTCCAAAAGTGAACCTGGAGCTTTTTAAAAGCAGGTGGAGATGCTAGCTTAAAGAGTCACCACTTTAGCAAATCAAACATCAAGCAAGCATCTTCCAATTCCATGATTCAGGTCTCCAAATAAGTAAAATAAAGTCTCTCAAATTTAATTCAACTATTTCCCTCCCTAGTTTGATGCAAACAAACAAAAAGTTAGGGGAAAATCCCTACAACACACAGTCTCTGGCTCTCAACCTTAACTGCAGAAGTCAGGTCTAACCAGCAGCACATATGATCTAATTATGCCACCTCTGGGAACCTCACAGTGGTGTTTCCTTCCCTTTTCTCTGTGCTTTAGACTCAAGCAACCCTCTAAAGATATTCTGACCTCAGAAAATAGAACCATCCACCAGCCTCTCCTCCCTTCAAATCTCACTGAAACATGCTATTATGGTGTCCATTAAGTCTGTGTTTAGAATGGTCAGCTGGTGAGGGAGTTAATTTTGGAGAATTTGTCTCCTTGTGGGTCAGTATTGCAGAGCAAATTTACTGCCCTCTTGTCTAGAAAGAGAATCATGGACTCACTGTTTTCTCGTGCTGGAAGTGGATCATGGACTCACTGGTTTCTTTGTAGTCAAGAACCCCATGACACCCTTGGAGAATAAATCTACTACCACATTAAAAAAATCTACTACATCCATTCAGTAAGCTATTTCATTCCAAATTATTTTACGAACTTTGTATGCCTACAGCTCCAGTTAACAGGTGCTGAATAGCATAGTTGGACAAGTGTTAAATAAAACTCTTAGGAAAGTTGTCCTCCCACACAGTTTTTTTTACACAATAACACACTCAGAAATCAAAATGTTTAGTAGAGCCAGATGTTACACTTACTGGACTGTGTAACATCCAGTGAACCACATCCATGTGGTTCAAGGGTTGGCTTATGAATCATGTTCGTTTATTACTTGTGTAATAGAATCTGAAAACTGAAGTTTTCACCAGGCAACAAAACATAATAGATGTAAAATTCCACAGAAAGGTGCCAAAAGATGTTATGAAGATTTTCAAAATAAATGGCCTTGAGAACCTGGGTTTTCCTGTTGGGCTTCTCAGCTACATGAGCGCTACAGAAGAAGGGTCAGAGAATGGAGACAAAAGAGATCATAGAAGATATCTCTTGATGGATGGGAGGGGTAAGCATTATTTTGCCAAGCTTTCCATGCTCTCAGGGAGTTGGGAGGAGGGGCAACCTTCTAACTGGGCTTGGAGGAGAGAATCCCTCAGAGAGCAGTGAAAGTGTTTCCTCAGGCTGAGAGGCTTAGAAGCCCAACTTACTTTTGAGAAAGATGAAGTTGACAGTATGGCCAAGGTCTAACTCCTACCAGGTGGGGATCTAAAAGGCATGAGAATGGCTGACTTCTTTGGAGTGCTGCTGCCCTGGGACTCATGCCAGTCTCAGGCCAGGGATGCATGAGTGTTCCTTGCAAGAGCTGTGTCCCCTACCACACAAAGTGAGCCAGTATGGGGACTGTCTTGGGTTAGTCCAATACAGCCACCTGGAGGAGTCTGGAGGAGCTTTGAGATATGCTGCTCGGTGTCTATGGGCTAAGGAAGGAGTCATGATGACTATCAGAACAAAGAAATAGGGGAAGTTGCTGAGTCAAGGAAATCGTAGAAAAAAAGAGGGAAAATAATGAATAATCCAGGAAAATGACATCTCAAGGGGGAAATGCATCTGTAAGACCAGAATGAGAAAAAATGACAACAGTGCCAGCTCAAGTAAGAAGTCCTATGCATCACCTCTCCCTGTCACCCCAGCCCCATGGACCCCCATGGAATCAAAATAGCAGCTATCAAGACAGGCAAAGAACAGTAGAAACATGAGGTAAAGAAAAGAAGGACTACCACCCTCTACCTTACTGCAGACTTCCATCCTAAAAACCAGCCCAAGAGTAGGGAGTGGAGAATGGGAGAAAACTTATTTGTGACTTCGCTACTGTAGATCACCTGTCACCTAAGAATAAGCAGGAACTTATAGGCTGCTGGGGTCCTCATGCAGAGCAGAAAAGTTACCCCATGGACTAAATTTCCCACTGTAAAACGACAACAGAAAAACAAAGTTGTGTTTTTACTATTCTATAAGCTGTGCTTTTTCAATATGCTAGCTATACCCATTTTCAAAAGACACAGGATCTGAATCTTTGCTGTGCAAAACCATGTCCCAGAGAGAACTGCTCAGCCACATGAAATATGTGGGTTTGACA